CACCCGCCTGTGGTAGGAATACTGAATAGTTTCTGAGTTAATGAAACAGCCAATAGCGCTTCTTCTGTACACAAACTGACTAGACTAACTAGGCTAGAGAAAAACAGTAGAGTACAAAGAGCTGCAATGTCAATGTTAATGACTACAAAACAAAGATACTCTGCTAAGAGTAGAAAAAACAAAAATGGAGCTCTTCCATGGACATGTATGCAGATGTGTAAATGACTATAGGAAATTTGTACTGTTTCAGTAAACCAAACATTAGAATATAGGAAATGTATGCAGATTCCTATATGACTTTGCATGTACATGAACATACATGTCTATAAAGTCTGATCTATATTGTTTTGATGTAGGTGGAGCGACATTTCAGATGTCCTTCAAATTGGTAATAGCAGAGAAAAATTTGATGGTGATTGTGGAACTACTGCACATCCATTACTAAGACGTCCATTTGCAGTACTAGCTCAAAACCTGCATAACGCTGGGGAAAGTTTGGTATCTCATCAGACGACAACTGAAAATGGTAAATAATCTTGAAAAGTAAGAACAGTATATCGTTGACTAGTAAAAGGAACTGTCTGATCACTATTTTTGGATTTTTAAGCAGCTAGTGACAACAAAACTCAAGGAACATTCCTTAAACAAGATGATCCAAAGAAACAGGCTTTTGATGCAACAAGCAGAACTGCTAAGCTCACTAGCAATGAAAGTCGATATAGAAAATACAGATCAAAGCCTTGAAAGTGCTTGGAAGGTGAGTCTAAAGCTGTGTTTCTCGTTATTCTAGTCCACGCCGTTCAGAATAATTGTTTTATAATTATTTAGTTCATCTCTAGGTAAGCAGTTGTTAGAAGTAGTGTCTCATGACTTGAACCTTGTTTCTACATGACCTGATTAACTCAATCAGGACAACTAATGAACTGTCTACTCTTTGTTTAATGATTCATTCCTTTGGCTAAAAAAGGAAGATCCATTGTTTAACTCGTTGATAACATAAGAAAGATAAAGACTGCTTGAGCTGCTAATGCTAAGTTTTTTCAAATGGCCAGCTTCATTTTGTGTTTCATTGTTCAAGAAATTAGTCTACACCGAATGTGCAGAAACTCTAATGGAGAAGTGTGAATTTTGTGCAGATACTCCAAGATTTTCTTCAACAAACAAAGGATGGTGATACACTCAAGTTCCAGCTCCCTAAGATGAATTTTGAACCTGATAGCAGATTCAAGAAGCAGTAATGAAGGCAGTCGGCCATCTTGGAGGTATTGACCACGCAAGCTCACTTTTAACGATGCACAACTTATCCCATGCCACTGTGTCTAAAATGTCGATGTGCATGCAACCTGCTTTATCTGAAGATTCTGCTGGCATCTCTGAGTATAGTAGGGATCAACTCAAGATTGTAAGAAGAACATTCCTACTTGCAACAGTAATGCAGTTTCCACATTCGATTAACATGATTTGACTAGAATTGAGAAGATAGATCATTTATCCCAATATAATATAATGTGTGCAGTTTAGACTCCATTATACAGGTTTTGGGATGATTAAAATAGAATTATGCAAACCTATATCTAGAAAGTATATATGTGTTAGGACTTTATTCCACTTACTTCATTGTCAAAAGAAATGAGATGAAGAGATTAAAAACTAAAGCCACCAAAAATGATTCCAAGTTAGTCAATAAACAAAGAATTCAACTTCCAAATATCACAATCTCGACCAGAAAAAAAGAAGAAAAAAATCCTGCAAATCCCCTCTATCAAGAACCCTCAAATCACTTAGCTTGATTTTCTCAAATTTAATGAAACCCCGCGTAACATTAACCATTTTACTTATTTAATCCAAGAATAAACCCTGCCCAAAAAGAAATCACAGAACCCACCTACATTATACACAAATTTATACAAGAAACCCCATAACCATTAAAAGAATACTTAACTCAAACATAATTTGAAAAAAATAAAACAAATCCCTTGATAACTAACCCATTTCTTGCACAAAACAGTGAACTTGTTCAAATAAAGGAAGTCAATTAACAAAGAAATTAACTTCCAAATATCAAAATCTTGACAAAAAAAAAAAATGAAACCCTCAAATCCCCTCATATCAAAAACCCTCAAATTTAATTTTTACCCAGTATCATAAATCATTTTTTCATGGAAACCCCACGTAACATTCACTATTTTAATTCTTAATAATCCAAGAAAGAAAACCCCCAAAAAAAGAAATCACAGAACTCACCTACATTTCCCTTGCATACACAAACTTATACAAGAAACCCCATAAGTCCATAACCAACATATAAAGAAGTGAACCAGTAATAAAAAAAATACACAAAAAAGATAAAACTCCAATTATTTTCCTACAGTACAAAAAAAGTAGACATAATAAACAGAGACCAAAAACAGAGAAAAACTCACAAGTTTGGAGGAATTCGCCACCATTGCTTGTCTCTTCGCCACCGCACTCGAAACAGACGAAGAGGGTCGTCGTCATTTCCTCCTTCTGATGTAAAACCCTTCTCTTCAAGAGCAAGAAAACAAAGAAGAAGAAGACCGTGTACGTTACTTGTTTTAATTGCACTTGAAACATGAAGGGACCGTGGTTATATTTTGATATTCTTTTTTCTATTAAAAATAGTAGTAATAATTTCAAAGGTGAAAGTGTACGTTCTCCCTCCTATATATTTTTGTTCTTAGAATTAATTTGCTAATCAATTATTTCATTATTATTGATTTTAAAATTTATAAATCAATCAAATTAATAAAATTTGGATTTTTCAATCTTAGGTTGTTTTGAGTTTTCGGATTTTTCGGATAAAGTATTCGTACAAGCCTATAATTAAGTATAATATCTATGGATTATAATATTTATTAGATAATTCAAAATTCTAAATCTCAATCATGAAATGATATGTTAAAACATAAAAACTATGAAAAATATAAGAAATATTTAATTGCGTCAAAGTAAATACTTTTTATAAATACTTCTATGTATAATTTTTTGTTTTTTTTAGAATGTTGGGTTGTTTTGGTCAGAGGCGTATGCGGGAGGGGGTCACCGGATTCACGTGAACCCATGCTCCCCTCCCGAAATCATATATAATAGTGTTATATTTTTTAAATTTTTTGTTAAATATAAATGTGAGAATCCACACTCGAAGTATCATATAATGCGACAATGATTCGGTGCACCTTTCAAAGGTTAGAAATTTGACTTTTATACTTATCTTGTTTTATTTTTCTTTCTAAAATTTAGTAACATCTATCTAAGTGGTTTATTGATAGCACTTTCAACGTTTTAATTAATTAAGCATTTCAATGTTGGAACTATAATTTAAATTTTTAACTGTTGTCAAACCGATTAAATTCACCTTTTCATAAGAGTGCACCAATCGAGTTAATAACTTTGATGGTCACTCAACTATCAATTGTTTTCATAGAAAATCACTCAAGTTTCATTTTTAACTCAAAAGTCATTCAACTATGACTTCTTTGCACAGAAAGTCACTCAACCTATTTAATTGTTTTTTTCATTAAAATTTAGTGACATGGAATTTTAATTATTAACCAAAATTTTAAGAACCAAATATATATCCATTTAAACCATTTAATTAATGACCCGCCCCATTTAACCCGATCCGCTAAAAATATAATATTGAACATTTTATTTTACAATTAATTCCCTAAATTATTCTCCCTTGTCTCCCACATTCTTTCCCTCTACTTCTTATCTTTTCTTTCCAAACCTTTCAAAAGCTAAAAGTGGTTCTTGAACCTTTGTCCATTCAGGGGGATCCCTTTGTCCCAAGTAAACCTCATCTGAAGCATGCCTTGACAAGATCTCTAAGATGGAAATTTCAATCAATGTCTGCAATTGAGGAGCGATTGTCTTGAGGAATACCTTGTCTGGATTTGTCTTGAGCTCTTCATACTCAGCATTTCCCGCTTCTGGCATGAACTTTCGGCTTAATGTAGGGCGATTAACAAGGTAACCACCATAAGGGTATTGCCCAAAATTGACGGCTGCTTGAAGTGCATTATGATGGTGCAAGAATCTATGAGCTCTTGAACAGTGTGCATTTTAAGCCACCAGGGCTCATCTTTCTTGTCACCATGTCCTTCTTCATGAATTTCCTTCCACCAGGATTGGAGTTCAACCGTCTTTCTGTACTGTCTAATCTGATTTGTAATAGAAGTTACAATAGAGGGAAAGAATGGGAGAATGATTTAGAAAATTAATAGTAAAATAAAATGTTCAATATTATATTTTTAGCGGGTCGGGTTTAATGGGGCAGGTCATTAATTAAATAGTTTAAATGGATATATATTTGGTTGTTAAAATTTTGGATAATAATTAAAATTCCATGTCACTAAATTTTAATGAAAAAAACAATTAAATAGATTGAGTGACTTTCTGTGCAAAGAAATCATAGTTGAGTGACTTTTGAATTGAAAGTGAAAGTTAAGTGACTTTCTGTGAAAACAATTGATAGTTGAGTGACCATCAAAGTTATTAACTCTGCACCAATCATATCGAAAACCTGAATACGCCTCTGATTTTGGTCTCGACTTTTTATTGTTAAAATCAGACCAAACCAACCAAGTATGATTCATTTTTTTTCCAATATCAAACCAAACAAAGCAATATATCCGATATAATCCAACAAATGAAATCTAGAGAATAATAAAAATTAAACGTACAATATATCGAAATATTTGCTCTTTGTAGAGTTGGGAATTTCAAAAAAGTTAAGTGAGTTGCCTGATTTTAGGTGTTCACCTGATGTCTTTACTTACACAATCTTGATTAGCTCTTATTGTAGATATGGTATGGAAACGGGCTGTAGAAAAGCTAGTAGACGGAGAATATTGAAGGCGAATCACTTGTTTCGCGTCATGTTATTCAAAGGATTTGTTCCTGATGTAGTAACTTATAATAGTTTGATCAATGGATGTTGCAAAACTAATAAGATAGAGAGAGCATTGGAGTTGTTAGATGATATGGTGAAAAGAGGGGTTGTGCCTAATTGAATTACGTATAATTCTTTCATTAAAATGAGATCGATAAGACTACTGAAATGCTGAGAAGAATGCAAGGAATGGATCATGAAGTAGTACTTCCATGTAATAGTTCGTATACACCGATAATTCATGCCATGTGTGAAACTGGTAAGGTGGTGGAGACGAGATTTTCTTGTGGAATTGGCTGAACAAGGTTCGATTCCAAGAGAATATACATATAAACTAGTTCGTAATGCTTTGGAATCTTCTTGGAAGATTGATTTGCTTGATGAAGAATTTTGTACAAGATTAGAAGATGGTATTAGAGGTAGGATTAAACAAGTGATGTAAAACCTTTGTTGCAGCATCAAAGTGTTTCATAGCATTGAATTTTATGGTTTTTATCTATGTTGCTCGGACTTTTTTTAAAAATGTCAATGGGTGCGTGTCGGATTCTCCAAAAGTAGTGTATTTTTGGAGAATCCGACACGAAAGTGAAGAATCCGCACAACTTAGTTTTTTATGGATTTTGATCTTATAAAAACACAAGGGATTTAACTCATATACTGTAATACTATAATGAATTGTTGGCTATAAGTGTATTTTAACTGGAGGAAAAGACTACAAAATATGAAACAAGGTGAAGATCTAAATGCATTAGATCAACTGTAGTTGGGTACAGTAAGAACTTTGATATATGGAGCAATTGCTGGTGCTTGTGCTGAAGCCGCTACATACCCATTTGAAGTTGTGAGGAGACAACTTCAGATGCAAGTTCGGGCCACAAAAATGAGTGCATTGGCAGTTAGCTTGAAGATAGTTGAGCAAGGTGGTATTCCTGCCCTCTATGCAGGATTGACTCCCAGCTTATTACAACTTATTACTTGTTAAGAAGAGTAATGTATATAACAAAATGCATCTTTTTTATTGTGCTCTTCAGGTTTTGCCATCAGCTGCGATCAGTTATTTCGTTTATGAGTTCATGAAGATTGTTCTGAAAGTAGAATAAATACGAGACACGATTACCCCAATCCATTCATGTCGAGGAGTGCTATACGTTGACACTGACAAATGTTGTACAAGTTAATCTCAAGGGACTTTCTGGCGTTGTTGTATTGTGTGGCCTGAACCCAGTGGTGGAAATAATACATCTCATTTAGAAGGTATTAAAGAAATTTCTTGTTTAGTTATAAGCTTTGTATCTGTATCTTTAAAAGGAGGAGAAATGTTGAAGCTTTTGTATTTTTCTCCATTTAGTTCTGATGAATTGTGTAACAGTCTTTTCTATAGTTTAAGGCTGATTTTTGGTGGGTGTATATCAGATTTTGCATTTTCGGAGGATCCGACATGGGTACAACAATATGGAATAAATTACGCTATTCTCATCTGATGCGAATAAGGAAAAAATGTGGTTACATTAGCCTGGAAAATGAAGAGAAGATTTCTGATCATTTTCATCAACAAAGAGAAACCAAAAGCTTACAGTTATAGAGTATTAAAGCAAAATCATGTACATATACCTGCAACTTTTATAGGAGAAAAGTTTGTCCTCTGCGTTCAAAGTCTCTGTAGAACCAAAATGTCAGAAAGTCCTTGAGAACGAGAAAGTCGAGTAAAAGCTTGTTGCCTAGTCGAGGGGGCTTGGTTTAATTGCTCATAAGAAAATGCATATCTCATAGTGAATTTCAACTAATCAAAGATAAAAAAAATGATCGAGAGAAGCTGAAAAAAATATCTTCATTGATTCATTATCTTCAACATACAGTATGTAGTATAGGCCAGTGTTTCCTGCTCCCTCAAATATAGGCCCCGTATCATACTCAGAATTCCCAGCTATAACAGCTTTCCACTTGCCTTTGTTCTCGACTCGATATCCAATTAACTATAGATGTCTAGTTTTGTGACAAAAGTCACATTTCATCAACTTGTAACAACAATTCACAAGTGTTCTTTCATATGAATATAATCACAAAATGCATTGGGTACTAGTTCTTTTGTTTCTGATTTCCAAGACCAAGTCTCGAAGTGAACATTATTGTTGGAACCTCGTTGAACAAGAGTGAAAATCTTCTTATGTAATTGAAAAGTACGAGAACTGTTAACCTTGTTAAATCATTTGTGGTTGAGCAAACATATATATATGGCTGACAATAGTTTGTGGTTGCGTTTGCAGGCTATATGCAGAAATACATAGATATTATATATATATATATATATATATATATGGCTGGCAATTATTTGCGGTTGCATACGTACATTGGATATTTACATGTTGTCCTCCTCGTCTTTTTGTGTCACTGAAGAGCCCTATCAACCTTACCCGCATTAGCATAAAGAAACAGGAAGATGTATGTTTTAGTGTCATGAAATATTCCTCACTCCTTGTTCAGCAAAGCTTCCATCTTTTTCAAGTAGTCATGACTTCCATAAATAAAGATCATAGCGTTGAATGCTACAACGTCCAAAATCAGATTTCAATATCTCATTTAACACATCTGCAGTGTCTTTGAAGCGACCAGCCTATCAATCAAACTATTGTAAGTGGCAATCATTTAAGGTCTCCTACCCGTTTTCTCAATTCTGAAATTTTAGACCTTCTTCTTG